CCTGGGCCGGTCACCACATTCAAGAATACAACTGCGTCACAAGCCGAGCCCAACCCCATGCGTATTCTTACTGTCCCGAACTATGATGTGGCTCAACTCAGAGAGTTCCTGAAGGGGAAAACGATAATTCAGATGTCCAGGCTTACAAAGGACAAGCTAAGCCAATATCTAACAATATTTGGTATACCAACAACCTCAGATACACAATTGACTAATCTAAAGTTGGCAAAAGTACTATCCAAGGTATTAAGTGATCATAAAAATCAACAATCAAGGCCCATCTGACCAGATTGCAGATTGGATGGCTATCTTCCAGACGTGTGTTCAACAACAGTGGTTTCCCAGTGAATAGAATATATTTTATTTGTTAGTGTTTAATTCTTCTATTCTTTTTTGTCTTWGTTTGTGTTGGTGTTTGTTGGTGTTGGGGCCAGAGCCAGTGGTGGGTGTCCGCTGAATGTCCATCGTTGGAATACGTTTGTCTCATCGCATGATACAAATAGAGGAGTGTAAACGCCGAGTATATCGTAGTAATGGAAACACATGTTTGTTCTGGTATCGACAATCATGTAATAGTTTGTTCCAGCTACCGATCGGATTTCCAAATTGTTTGGATCGTTTGAGACTATAGAAAAGTAGATGACATCGTCAGGATGATCAGGATCGTGTGCTTTATCGCCTGGCTTAATAGTTAATGAAGTAGTATCGTGCAACAGGATCACATTGGGATATATGTCCCAGCTTTGGGTAGAATCTCCAATACTTCCACAATCTCTCAGTCCAATTGGATTAGTGCCGTTGAATGATAAACAATGTGCATTGTCTCTTGAGGAAGTGATGAACTGTGATTTCAGGATAGGGCCGCCGTTGAGATTGATATTGTACTTTGAGTAAGATCGGCCAAGAGGGTCAACTGGGATAAACATTGGATGGTGATCCAAGTTATTGATAAGAAACACTTTGCTTCCAGTTGAAGTGTATCCCTTCGAGTAGCCGTTCTCAATTGATGTGTATGATCTATCGACACAATCAGTAGTGATGTTCTTGAAGTCTGGACACTGTTGTGTCACCA